ATTCTAGAAGACAGAATTCCGATAGCTCAAAATTTTGACACATTTTCGAAAATGAGAAAGAAAAACTTCGTAAGTCTCACCAATTCGTCGACTTATTAAATCAATTTTCAATTTCAGAAAGCAGTGATCTTATGAAGAATAGAGATTCGAGCAACACTTGCAAAAGTACACTGAATGAGTAGTGAGAAAAGAAAAGTGCAACTTTTCTGGGGTAGGCTAATTTCCGCAATTTGTTTTTGCGCAACAGGGTCATTTGCGCCACTCGCCATAGCTTTCTTTTAAGCCGGCCAAACTTTATGATGTTGGTTTCATTTTGTTGCACTTATTGAGATCTACAAAATGAAACGAAAATCATAAAGATTAGCCGACTTAGAAGAAAGTTATAGCGAGCTGCGCAAATGGCGCTGTTGCGCAAAAACAGTGCGAATTGCCTACCCTTTCTTCATCGAAGATTGAAATAACTTGTGAAAATAACGATTTCAATGAATAATCTCCAGAAAAAATGGGTTCATTTCAGTCAAAATTCCCCGAAATTTGTATCCAAAATGTGAAAAAGTGCAATAAAACAAGCGGAAGACCATCGGAACACAGCAATTTACTGAAAAATACGTAAAAATATTCTTCAGAAGTAATTTTAGTTGAGCAAAAATGTGATTTCTGCTGAAATCTACACTGAAATCATGTTTTTTTGATCTAATTTTTTAAGATTTTAAGGTTTATGTGATGTGATTGTCAAAATTGATTGTTTCCTGTAGTCTTGCAAATTGTCTGAACAATGGCTAAAGTCAGCATTGATACTTTGCTGTAAAATTTTACTACGAAAAAAGGTTTACAAAGACTTTCAGTAAGGCGAAAATGAAATTCTGCAAAATTTTTAGAGAAAATCATCATATTTCAAGGAGTCGTCTACATTTTTCTTACAAAATATAGTCTAGTCTTTCTTACTAGGCTAGTCTTGCTTACTAGGCTAGTCTTGCTTACTAGTCTAGTCTTTCTTACTAGGCTAGTCCTGCTTACTAGGCTAGTCTTGCTTACAATATGGGATTTGGTCACTTGAGAAGAGTTGAAGAAGTTGAAGTTGAAGAAGAGTTGAAGAAAAGTTTAATTAAACCATCTGAAATATTCAGAATCATTTCAAAATTTGATGAAATCTACACGTCTCACGTTTTTCTGATCTAATTTCTCAATATTTTCGGGTATTTTTGATGTTTTGGTGTTGAAAAAGGATCTTTTTTTTGGGTATTTGAAGATTTAAATATTTGAGTAAATTCCGAAAATTTAAAGGATAAGAGCTCTTTTTTGAAGAAATTGAGCAATATTTAGTTTCTTCAGTGAGATCGTTCTTAAAAATGGAATGGCTTTAAAAGGAAAGTAAAAGAGTTTTGAAAAGCGAAATAAAAAGAAAAACAGAAGCAATTAAATATTGAAATGAAACCATTTATTACAGGAAAAAAAACTCGAAATCGTGGTTTGATGAGAATCATCAAAACAAAGCAAAATAAAAAGACGGCAATTATTCCCAAAAGAAAAACAAAATTAGCTCTAAGATCTCGAAGTTTTTGTGCAAAATAGGGGGAAAATTGGATTGAAAAAAAATCTAGAGAACACTGTGAAAACATCACGAATCTTTCGAGTAATTCGTAATAATTCCCATTTTTACATACCGTATTTTCTATAATAATAATGCAGTTTGTAATAGTAATGCAGTCTGTAATAGTAGTGCAGTCTGTAATAGTAATGCAGTCTAATAGTAGTGCAGTCTGTAATAGTAGTGCAGTCTGTAATAGTAATGCAGTCTAATAGTAGTGCAGTCTGTAATAGTAGTGCAGTCTGTAATAGTAATGCAGTTTGTAATAGTAATGCAGTTTGTAATAGTAATGCAGTCTAATAGTAGTGCAGTCTGTAATAGTAATGCAGTTTGTAATAGTAGTGCAGTCTAATAGTAGTGCAGTCTAATAATAATACAGTCTGTAATAGTAATGCAGTTTGTAATAATAATGCAGTCTGTAATAGTAGTGTAGGCTGAAGGGGGGTTGAAAAAATAGTAGAGTGCACTACTATTACAGAAAATACGGTATATGTTTTCCCAAGAAGTATCACGATCGATCTAGTCAGCTGAAAATCGGTATCATATGATAGGAAATGAGATTAGATCGAAAAAGTCTGTGAAAATCGATGGATTCCATCAATCTATGCACCTTGGTGTGGAAGAAAAGTGAAGGAGATGCGCAACTCTGATCGAGAAAACGGGAAAGATAGTGGGAAAAGGGGAAAAGGAAAGACAAGGGACAAGGAAGGAAAAAGAAAGAAAAGAGACGAGAAAATTTTTGGAATCCAGTTTTCGTCAGTCATCTTGTCCTATCTAGTCGTTCACTGTTCAAAAAGAAAAAAAAGAGGGTGTAGATGAGAGGGTGTCCGCTTCCGCAACCTTCTTTCACCCCCTTGTCCCCTTTGTGAGAGTCATTCAGTCAGTCAGACAGTCAGTTAGACCCACTACTTGACAAATGTGACTAGTTTATTTGGCCTTTCATTCAGCCGATTCCTTACATAGAAAGCAGGTTAAAATCCTTGATCGATCAAATCAAAGACTGCGATGAAAGTTGAACTATTTTAGTACTCTACTTGAATACTAAAACATTTAAGTCAAGTAATTCGTTCAGTAATTAAGCTATTACTTAAGTTATTAAGTTATTAGTTAAGTAATTAAGTAATTAGTTAAGTAATTAAGCTATTACTTAAGTTATTAAGTTGTTACTTAAGTAATTAAGTTATTAGTTAAGTAATTAGGTTATTAGTTAAGGTATTAGTTAAGTAATTAAGTAATTAAGTTATTAGTTAAGTAATTACCGTAAATACTGTAATAGTACCTAACAAAAAAAGGTTTGTTTCGATCAATACTTTAAAGAAAATGTCAAAAAAGTGACTGTTTATTGAAAAGCTTAAAAAGAGTTGACTTGTCAAACGGTGAGAAGAAGGTAGACGGATAAAAAGTAGACAAAATTAAGCACTCAATCCATTCCCAGAACACATCGATTTCAATATTTCTTTAGTCTGTCACTCTTTTCCTTTTCGCTTATTTGTACTGTTAATCCGAGTTGAATGAAAAGAGAAAAACGGAGTTAAAAAAACGAAATTCTTTTGCGCAAGTTGGTCAATTTTCTTTTCGCGAAAACTTTTTCACATCTGATGAAAAGTGATCTGTTTGCTTGGATGTAAAACAGAGAAATCGAATCAATATTTTTCAACAGTTTTCAAATGGTTTCAAATGGTTTTCAAATGGTTTCATGATTTCAAATGATTTCAAATGATTTTCAAATGATTTTCGAAGGGTTTCAAATGGTTTCAAATGGTTTACAAATGATTTCAAATGATTTTCAAATGATTTCAAATGGTTTTGAAATGATTTCAAATGATTTCAAATGATTTCAAGGATTTCTAATGATTTAAAATTGTTTCAAATGATTTCAAATGATTTCAAATGGTTTCAAATGATTTCAAATGATTTTCAAATGATTTTCAAATGATTTCAAATGATTTCAAATGATTTCAAATGGTTTCAAATGATTTTGAAAGGGTTTCAAATGATTTCAAATGATTTCAAATGATATCAAATGATTTCAAATGATTTCAAATGATTTCAAATGATATCAAATGATTTCAAATGATTTCAAATGATTTCAAATGATATCAAATGATTTTCAAAGGGTTTCAAATGATTTCAAATGATTTCAAATGATATCAAATGATTTCAAATGATTTCAAATGATTTCAAATGATATCAAATGATTTCAAATGATTTCAAATGATTTCAAATGATTTCAAATGATTTCAAATGGTTTTAAATGATTTCAAATTATTTTCAAATGATTTCAAATGATTTCAAATGGTTTCAAATGATTTTGAAATGATTTCAAATGATTTCAAATAGTTTTCAAATGGTTTCAAATGATTTCAAATGGTTTTAAATGATTTCAAATGATTTCAAATGATATCAAATGATTTCAAATGATTTCAAATGATTTCAAATGGTTTTAAATGATTTCAAATGATTTCAAATGATTTCAAATAATTTTCAAATGGTTTCAAATGGTTTCTAAGATTTTCGTCAAATTCTTTATTTTTAAAACATTTTCAGTCATTTAACTTTTTTGACTTTTGACTCAAAGAGAGCTTTTCAATGGGTAAAAGCTTTCAAATACTTTAATAATCTAGATTTCAAAGTCATTAAAGTAAAGTAAAGGTTAAGCTGCTTTAAAAAGTTTCAAGTTTCAATTTTAACAACTTTTAAATCGATTTAACATGTTTCAAATCGATTGACAAGTAGAAAGATTGAAAAAATTGAAAAAACTTTGATTCAATATTTAATTTGCAATTTGAGAACAATGAGTCTTTCCAAAAAAAGTCAGAAAGTTCAAAAGATTGAAAAGAAAAAGAGGAAACTCGATCCCTAAATGAAAAGCTGATGTTTAAGAGTTAAAAATGAGAGGAAAGCATCGATTCGGACAAGTTTACAATCACTTTTGAAGGGTTTTTTTGAAAATAGATAATCATATTGTTTTATGGAACATTTCAATAGCCAATCCTCTTCAAATCAAAGCTAAAAGGTTGGAATTTAAAGAATTTTCGACGAAATAAGTGATTTGGGAATGAGATTGGCATGCAAAAGCCAAAAAAAAGGTAAATAAACCTGTTCTTTGTCTTTTCTTTGTCTTTGTCTTTTCTCTCTCTATCTAGAAATCTCTCTTGATATAAAAAGAGAGAAAAGACTAACTAGAGATTGTTTATGAGTCATCTATCTCAATGTGACGTCAAAAAAATGATTGTTTTACACAAATTTGTCAAATATTTATCAAATATTTATCAAGCACTCAAAAAAAGAAAAAATTTGAAAAAAAAAGAAAAAGCTGATGACTGAAAGATAAAATCTTTGATTTTATACCCGAAAATGAAGGAAAATTGCAGTTTATAACGAAAAAAAATAAAGAAAAACGATCAAATTAATTCCCAACTTTCATGTACTCGGCAAAGTCGATGTAGCTGAAAAAAAAATAGATTTAAAACCTTTACGCTCCACGACAGGGGCCAACTTTTTGACCAACTTGCAACCCGATTTTATATAGTTTTTTCTTAATAACTTTTGATGAAACAAATAGTTTCTGAAAGCTGACATTCTAAGCTATTTAAATCTTATTAAAATTTTTGAATCTGACAAGTTTAAGATGCTTAAAAATGAGCTACAAGTTTAGCCAAAAAATTGGCTTCCACCGATAATCGTTACCCCCTGCCGTTAACTGTAAAGATCCGAGATTTGAGATTTTCCGGCATTTCAAATCTTTATAATGTGCTTTATACTCAAATCACTTAAACACACGTTTCCTAGTGCAGATTTCTTTAGATTCTTTTGAGGCGCATAAAAGGTGGCTTTGTTTATCCAGTGACTGTACTTTAAAGCCGTGGAAACTCGTTGAAACGCGCTATTTCTGGCACAATACCTTTTTCTTACAAGGAAACACGTTGAAACGCCGGTTTTTCTGTCAGTTTTTGCCAATTTTAGCTTCAAAATTTGATCTCACTGATCAAAATTTTCATTGGCACCACAAGTCAAAAGATGCTCATTGAGATCACTCAAAGAAACAGGGATTTTGACTATAAAAATTCAACAAAACCCATCAATTAGTGAAAGGTTAAGCTGTACTCTCCATCAGTAGGCGTACTCAATTTATCCCACTTATCGAACACTCTTTTTGGCTCACGGAAATTGATGACTTTTTTGCAAGAGAGCAAAAGTACGATCAACTCGTGTTTTCAGCTAATAGCTACTTTGAATTCACACAAAAATAAGTTCCCGTTTAAGATTTTGATTCGAAAAACATGCAGAATTTGATCTTTGGAGCTACTTTGAAACAGTTAAGGTAATGTTTTTGAAAAATGGGGAAAGTTAGGAATTGATTGTGTTCTGCTCGAGCCACCCTTTCAAAGAAGCAAGCAAAATACATTTAGAGAAATATCTTAGTAAAACTTTTAGTTTTCTTTTAGAAAAGCCGAATCTTGATATTAGTTGATGAGAAATTACAATGATTGAATAAAATTGGAGTGAATAGATCTAAGCTAATGGTTTGACTACGATACTTTTCTTAAATAGGTCAAATAGATGCTAAAATACATCAACTTTTGAAAGTTGTTCAGAAAAGTAGCTCTTTTCTGTAAAATCTTATTTGATGCTTTGATTTTGAATATCTCTGATTCTCTTGTCCTTCCTCTAAAGATCATTTGTGTGATAAAAGGAAACGGAGATCACTTTGTATTCTTTTCTTTTACCATTTTAAACACTGAACCAACGATTTATTTTATTTTTTATATTTTCTTGCTATTAGTGATTGTGCTAGATTTGGAATAAAATATTTAAATACCGTATTTTCTCTAATAGTAGTGAGCGACCTCTGAGCGTCGCCTAAATTCCTCGAAATCTCGAGAACCACTTATCAGAACCTATCGATGTGGGATCGGAAAATGTAGCTGACGATGAGATCTAGTGGGGGATTAGAGTGTTGAGCTTCTGTGAAAACTTTAAAAGCCATAAAATAGTCATCAACTCGGCTCGCTGGGGTGCACTACTATTAGAGAAAATACGGTAATCATTGCCCCTTTGGTTCCTCTCTTACGCACTGCACAAAAGCTATCGCAACCGTAAATTTTCTAGCTTTTAACTCTATTTTTTGTAATGTTTAAGATTTTTTGGTGTTTATATCAACCCTCACCCATCTCCATTAATATCCATTTGCTCGAGCACACCGTCGATCATTTTCACCATCGAATCCTCGTCAGCCACCGGGTTTCCAGGTCCTGTAAATGTCATTGTTTTTTGTTGTCATTGTTGTCATTGTCATTGTTGAACTTTAAATCTAATAGCAAATCATTATACTCTTCCCCATCTCAAAATCTAAAACTTGCAAAACCTTGCAGTTTTGCTCTATTTCCGAGCTCTGATTCTTTGCCGATAATCATCTCGACTTTTCTTCACTCACCCCGTTTTTCCTCCTCTACAGCATCATGTGAGTGAGTGAGAGATTTCATGATTTCAGTTCCGTCGATCATCCCATCTTTGTTCAAATCGTGCATCGAGAAATAGTGAAATCTAGAGTTGAGATCTTCGTAAACATGATGATCGGAGAACAGTGTGAGATTGACGGGAAACATTCGATTGCAAATTTTTGCCGTAAAATTTGGAATGATCGGGGGAATTGCAAGCAAAAATAAAAAGAACGATTTATATAGAATTTTATAATAACTTCAATTTAATTGTTTTATGACCTTTATGGTTCTAAAACTTTTTTTCCTCTATTTTAGAAAATAAAAATTATGTGCAGCTTTATAAAATTGTTACTAAGATCGTTGAAAAAATTATTAGTTTATGATTTAAAGATTAATGATGTGATTTACAAAAGATTTGTTGATTTTTCCGCCACCAACCTTCTCTGCTCTTCCGTCATCGTCTCCACATTGATCTTGTCCTCGAAGTGTTGCTTGATGTGACTGAATATCTATAGATTGACCAGCGGAAAACGCCTCTCGTTGTGTTTTCCGCTAGAGAGGCGGCCTTAAAGCCCGGGGGCCTTAAAGCCCGGGGGCCTTAAAGCCCGGGGGCCTTAAAGCCCGGGGGCCTTAAAGCCCGGGGGCCTTAAAGCCCGGGGGCCTTAAAGCCCGGGGTCCTTAAAGCCCGGGGTCCTTAAAGCCCGGGGTCCTTAAAGCCCGGGGTCCTTAAAGCCCGGGGTCCTTAAAGCCCGGGGTCCTTAAAGCCCGGGGTCCTTAAAGCCCGGGGTCCTTAAAGCCCGGGGTCCTTAAAGCCCGGGGTCCTTAAAGCCCGGGGTCCTTAAAGCCCGGGGTCCTTAAAGCCCGGGGTCCTTAAAGCCCTTTATGTCCCTTCAGACCCTTTACTTTCCTTCCGGAAAAGTTCAGAAAAAGCGCATAGTTTAAAGGAATTGTACAATAGAAAAAGAAAAGACGAGGTGAAAAGGAACGCTAAAAAGAAACAGGGAACAGCGGAAAACGCTTAGCTCGTTCGCGTTTTCCGCTAGAGAGGCAGCCCATTCGGGGTCCTTTAAGCCCTTTATGTCCATGCGGGCCCTTTACTTCCTTTCCAGACAAGTTCAGAAAAAGCTCATAGTTTAAAGGATCTGGGTACCATAGAAAAAGAAAAGACGAAGTGAAAAGGAACGCAAAAAAGAAACAGGGAACAGCATTGTTTTCGAAGCGACTTTGTAGCATAAAACTTTCTTTCAAATAACTAGGACTATTGTCACCCATGTTAAGCCTCGCCTCTTTTTAAAAATAAACCAAAAAGTCAGATTTCCCATAACCGAAAACCTGCGGGAGCAAAATATCGCGCTTAAAAGCTGAATAATTTGCCTTTTCACCGATAGAGCAAACGTAATTACAAAGCGTCGCGTCTGCGCACAGACAAATGAACAGACAAACGTCTCTTCTGCTTTATATAGTAAATAAGAAGAAAGTAAACGAACGCCTCATCCTTCATCTCGTGTTCATCCCCGAATTTGTGGTGTATTTGATCGACGGATTCCACTTGAACCGGTTGATTTGGAGGAGGATCATTGGCAAGTGATTGAGCTGGAAATGGCAATTTTGAAAATTTCGAATACCGATTACTCTAATATTAGGTTGTTCGGATATAAATAAGCGTTGCTAAACTTATTTTTTTGAGAGAAGCTTTTAAAATATGTCTTTATTTGTATTTTTTTAAAAGTGCGTTATCTTGTGCATATTTGGAATCTTTTTAAAAGAATAATTTCTTATTTTTAAGATTTTTTTCTTGTTTTAGATGATCGACTTCAAACATCAAGTTCGCGTCTGCCTAGGATCATGAACACTCTCGTCTGCCTAGGATCATGAACACTCTCGTCTGCCTAGGATCATGAACACTCTCGTCTGCCTAGGATCATGAACACTCTCGTCTGCCTAGGATCATGAACACTCGCGTCTGCCTAGGATCATGAACACTCTCGTCTGCCTAGGATCATGAACACTCGCGTCTGCCTAGGATCATGAACACTCTCGTCTGCCTAGGATCATGAACACTCGCGTCTGCCTAGGATCATGAACACTCTCGTCTGCCTAGGATCATGAACACTCTCGTCTGCCTAGGATCATGAACACTCGCGTCTGCCTAGGATCATGAACACTCTCGTCTGCCTAGGATCATGAACACTCGCGTCTGCCTAGGATCATGAACACTCTCGTCTGCCTAGGATCATGAACACTCGCGTCTGCCTAGGATCATGAACACTCTCGTCTGCCTAGGATCATGAACACTCGCGTCTGCCTAGGATCATGAACACTCTCGTCTGCCTAGGATCATGAACACTCTCGTCTGCCTAGGATCATGAACACTCGCGTCTGCCTAGGATCATGAACACTCTCGTCTGCCTAGGATCATGAACACTCTCGTCTGCCTAGGATCATGAACACTCGCGTCTGCCTAGGATCATGAACACTCTCGTCTGCCTAGGATCATGAACACTCTCGTCTGTCTAGGATCATGAACACTCTCGTCTGCCTAGGATCATGAACATGTCAAACGAGCTTGCTCAGCAGTTTCTATGTTCAAATTCTACTATTGATGAGCATCTCCATGTCATTGGAAAGACGATCAGATGCGGGAAATGGCTTCCTCACGAATTAAGCAGTGCAAACAAGGCTTCACGAGTCGCTATTGCCGGAATTCTCATCCACCACGCTAAAGATCATGACTTTTTGATCCTCTCGTTACTGGAGATGAGAAGTGGATCTATTTCGATAATACTATTCGAAAACGGCAATGGCTAGGACCAGGAGAACGGCCGAATCCGACCGTGGAACCGGACATTCATGAGCATCTCCATGTCATTGGAAAGACGATCTGATGCGGGAAATGGTTTCCTCATGAGTTAAGCAGTGCAAACGCTCGTTTAGATCCGAACAACCTAATAGAATGCCAGTCTAGTCGCGTAGTCTAACTTCATTTTAGAAGATCGTTTTTTCTCAGTGCCTAAATTTTCCCAACTATACTTTTGATACCAAAAAATACTAGATTTCAAGGGCTATCATTTCTACTAAACTATAGCCTAAAGCAGGAGAATGAGACGTTCAAAGTTAGACTACGCAACTGTACGTCTGTCATTAGAGTTCGATTAGAGTATTTACGGTGTTACTGTAGTAGTTTAAAAGTATAAAATATTTGGTTAACTAGAAATTTGAACAGGTATTTCAAATTCAATTCAATAAAAATAGGCTCAAAGTTAGTTTGACCTTAAAAAATTTGCATAAATATTAAGAAAAAACCCACCAAAAAGCGCACAGCTAACAACTAATAGCTGAAAAAGCATAAGAGTAAAATTATAGCCAAATTTGGGAAGAAGTTGAATTTATAAAAATGATAAGAAATCGGAAATCAATTGAGTGAAAGAGGAAAAGCTGAAAGGGAAAAGCTGAAATTGAAATGACGTGTCCTTTTGTGTAAGAAGAGAGAAAAAAAAGAGTGGCAGAAATGGGAGAGAGAAAAGAAGAGACCATGAATATATTGAGAGGGATGAATCGATTCGATTTTGATCGAATTCAAGAAAGAGACACGCAATTTCAGAACAGAAACCATTTAAGGAAAAGGAAAGGAACAGACGTGCCGTGCAGCTGGGAAAACAATGGAAAACAATGGAAAAGAGTGGGTGATTTTGGGGAATTAGTGTTATTTGGTAAATAGCACTTCAATGAAGCGTAAGGTCGAGGGTTCAATCCCTCTAGGGAAATCGTTCTCCTTTTTTTCATTTGACTTTTCGATGTAAAAGCCGGAATAGGAGAATTATCTCGATATTTGGTGAATTCAATAAAATGAATAGCTCCAATCGATTCCCCGACCTTGAAAACCCCCAAATACAAATTTAGAGCTAAATATATTCTTTTTGACTGCGCTCGAGTCTGATCTGTTTCGAGTTAGGACTAGCAAACACTATAACTTTCTTTAGCATTCCTATTTTTCGGTGTTCTTTAGTTCATTCGAAAACTCTTGATATTCTCTATTTTCTAAGCTATAAATCATTTCAATCCAACAGATTTGAAGGAAGTTAAAGGCGTTTATAGTGTGAGAGTTCATCATTTTCTGTATTTGATAGTACCCATGTCTAGACGGAGCGATGAGCGACTGAGCAGCACTGATAGCATAAGCACTGATAGCACAAGCACTGATTGCACAAGCACTGATAGCATAAGCACTGATAGCATAAGCACTGATTGCACAAGCACTGATTGCACAAGCACTGATGGCACAAGTACTGGTTGCACAAGAAAACTGGAATTAACTCGTGGATCAAAACATCGATCTAATAACATTTTTGTATAAGCTTTAATCGAATCAACCGATAATTCGTAGTAATACTAGTAAGCTGTCGTACTTGGTAGAGGGCTCAAGCTCACTTAAACTCGATTTGACGGGACGGTTTCCATTCTCGTGACGAATTGCAAGTAAAATTCAGGAGGTGAAATATTGCCCAGCAAGCAATCGACTTTTTGCAAGTTCGCCAAAAACGTCTCGATTTGTGAGAGATCCAAATCAACAACAACACTTGATCGATCACATAATTGATAACAGATTGTCTCTTTCTGGGATAGCAAAAACCCCATTTTTTTCCTTTTTTTGTCCGAAAATTCTTGGAAAAATGAATTTTTTAGGAAAATTTTCGGAAAAGTTGATTATTGTCATTGAGTCAGTATTTTCTGTTTCAATTTTTCTGACTTTCACAAAATTTTCTTTTCATTGATCATGAAAGTTGAATCGGAATACAGTTTTTAATCGGTTATATTAAGAAATTTCGCTATTCATCTTTTGCTAAAGTTTAAAGGGATTTTAAATACCGTATTCTCTCTAATAGTAGTGCGCACTACTATTTTTTGAACCTTCTCCTGGATCGCAATACTATTAGAGAGTGCAGTACTATTAAAGAGTTGTATCATTTACCAAAGTAAGACAGATATAAGATTTGTTCCAAAAATTCTTGCAATTCTTTCACGTACTCCTTTGACTCCTTTTGACATACAGTTGTGGGCCGGCGAGTTGACAATTTGTGTCTTGACAAACAATAAATTTAGTCATCCCTCTGATGCCGAAAATTCCTCGTCACCTTTCCACATTAACTTGGCTTGGCATTGAATCATTTTTCGTATCACTCGCATCTTCTTTGCCCGCATTTCTTGAATCCAAGCAACAAGATCCTTGTCAAAATCGACATCCTTGAGCTTTCGTCCACCCCCTTTGATTCGCTTTTTTTCCTTTTCCGTTATCTCTGTTTTGTTTCTTGACTTCTTCCTTTTGCTGACACCATTTTTGGGATATTTTTTGGGTACACATCGTTGTACTTTGTACACATCGTTGTACATTGTACACATCGTTGTACATTTTACACATCGCACATTGTGCACATCGTACATTGTACATTGTACAAATCGTACAAATCGTACACATATTATGGGCCACATTGTATTTCGACTATTTAACAATTAAGCAGACGCAAGAAAGGGTGTTGAGTGCGTCAGAAAGGATATGTTTCCATTTTAAGAGCACAAAGTGAATTGTAAGAACAATTCTGAAACTTTTTGATGGACAAGCACAAAGGAAATTGCTTCATTATAGACACTGAAAGGATTTCGAAAAGCACAAAAACCCTTGTTTTCCCTTTACTTTCTCATTTCCATTCTTTTCTTTGAATGAATTTTCAGTTTCCTTCTGTGATGATGTTTATGAAGAGAATGATGTTGAATGTGAGTTCTTTTCCTAGACGAAATATTAGTTGATTTTGTTAGAAAAGCTAGAGATTAGTTAGCTAAATATCTTGAAAAGCTAGAGATTAGTTAGTTAAAGATAGAAATTATCAGATAAAGATAACAGATAGAAATTATCTTGAACAGCTAGAGATTAGTTAGCTAAATATCTTGAAAAGCTAGAGATTAGTTAGCTAAATATCTTGAACATCTAGAGATTAGTTAGCTAAATCTATCTTGAACCGATAATCTTCAAGAATTCATTTCCTGTCACTCACCCAATCTGATTCGTTTCCAATCGTCGTTGCTCATTCGAGTCCCTTTCTGTCAACTTCTCCTTGTTCTCGTAGTCCTCGAAGCTGATCGGCACCAAATCTGAATTTCAGGAATTGTAAAAAGAATTGAAAAAATTGAAAAAATTGAAAGAATTGGAAGATTTGCAAAGTTATCGAATTAAACTATAAACTATTCAACCATCATCATCGTCTCCTGTCGTTTGCGGGTCGGCTGCCTCAGCGCCGGGGAAAAGTACGTTGGCTGGAGCCGGTGCTGCACCCTCATCTAAATCATAAATAATTTTATTCTTTTGCAGTCTAGTTGCAGTCTAGTTTTCTTTTTAATTCTATTATTTTACATTTTGAAATCTATTTTCACTCCACATCATTTGTTTGTTCAAATCTGACTCACTTTCATCTTCATAATCCACCAACGGATTCTTCTTCAGCATCTCGGCACCGCCAACATTTTGTGTGAGTGGATCGTCTAAATAAAGAAAAGTTTACATTTTGCTAAATCTAGGAAAGAAAAAACCTTAATATATGAAAAAAAGAGCTGATCTAGCCGATGGGATTGAACTCCCGATGGAATTGAACTCTTGACCTTCCGTTTAAGATACACGGTTCTTAGCCTGTCGTCTATGGCGATCAAATGTTATTGCTATTGAGAAATCGATTGCTTTTTCCACCAACCAGCTGCAGCAATGGGTTGTTTAGCGTCGAGTCGATTGCAGAAATCCTCATGGCAGATACAATGCTTCCCCACTCCATCCGACTCCATCCAGCAAGCCGATTTCTGAGCAATTTCTTCAACCCAAAACCATACAAACAAATTTTTACCCCAAACTATGCCAAAAGTGACTTGTTTCTATACATTTCTCAAGCACAAAGTACAAATTCTGAACATTACTCACCTTTTCCTCTTCGTGTTTCGTTGCCATGATGCAAAAAGCGGTCAGCGTTTTCCCATCACCGGCATCAACTGAAAGAAAAGAAAAGTTTATTGGGTATTTTTTGATTATAATCCCGTTAGTTAATTAGCATATATTAATTTACAAAATAAAGCGGAGATCCTGGGGGCGATAATTTAAAAAAATTTTTAAAAACGACAATCTCCTCGGATTCACCCCAAAGAGATCCATTCATTTTACATGAATTTAAGTCAAGATCTTTTAGATAGAGAAGATATTAGGTTGATGCATAAGTCTTTTCGTTTTTTTTCGTACTTCTGTTAAAAGGTAACAAATTCACGAATTAATCTATAGTTTGCTCTATAAAAAAAGTGTTTTTTTGTTCAATTTGCATCTTTTTAAATGAATTTCGGTTCACTTTCAAGCAAATTCGAGAGTGAAAAACGCCTTTTTCGTAAAAATCTATAAAAAACTCTACGGAAAAATTGGCTGAATGAATTTCTCTGAAATTTTGGCGAAATATCAAACGTTTTTTTTTCTCTATCTTTTATCTATTGACACGAAGATAGGTTTTCTTTAGCTAAGGTGTCTAAACCGCATCATCGAGTTAGCCCTTTTTGACTACCCGACTTCATACTCTCAAGAAAATCCAGGCATTAAATATTTTTAAACCCAGTTATTTTGCAGAAAAATAATTGGTTTTTCTAATGAAATCAACCGTAGTTTAATTGGTGCATTTGTTGGCTTGAAACGGCAGACGAAAAGGAACAAAAACACTTATGCATCAACTCTCTTACTATGCAGATCTAATCAGAAACAAAATTTGATTCTATTTTCATTTGATTTAAGTTAATCAAGTTAATCATTAGTTAAGTAGACAAAGCGAGCAATATTTATGGAAACTTTTGAGCGCACAGGTCGTTTACCGAGCTTAAAATTGGTTTATGAAGAAAAAATGGTCAAGAAAGTACAGCATAGGAATTGGAATAAGCTAAATTCTTAGCTAAATTCTTAAGCTTCTAAATTCTCTTACAATTTACTCAATTTGTTATGAGAAAAGCTGATTCATTGGATCTCGATCACTAAATTTGATCAAAAGAATTCAGAGCCCAGTTTTTCTTGTTTAAGTGTTTTCTTTTTAGCATTAAACTTGTACAAAATTACTCTAAACTCTAGGTTTATTTTGATCTTTTAAAAATACTTTAATCTATTTGTTATATTATAGAAATTCTCATCAACAAAACCGACAAAACCGAACCGATCCTAAAATGAGGTCCTCCTTTCAATATTGGATTACCATATTCTCTCTAATAGAAACTAACGAAAAAGGTCAAAGATTGTATTTTTAAAAAACATTAGAGTATTCAAGCTCAATTCAGACACGAAAATCTGCTTAAATTGTGGTAGTTTATCGGCAAAAAGATTACTCAAAAGTAAACTCAATTTCAGACGCTAAAAAGTGTCATAATGATTACAGTAACTCCAACTGTTTATACCGTATTTTCTCTAATAGTAGTGCACCCTGAGCGTCGCCTAAATTCCTCGAAATCTCGAGAACCGCCTATCAGAACCTATCGATACTTTAATCTATATTTTATCTTATAGAAATTTTATAGAAATCTTATAGAATTCTGATAGAAACCTTCATCAAGAACCGACAAAACCGAACCGACCCTAAAGTGAGGTCCTCCTTTAAATATTGGATTACCGTATTCTCTCTAATAGTAGTGTACCCTGAGCGTCGCCTAAATTCCTCGAAATCTCGAGAACCGCTTATCAGAACCTATCGATACTTTAATCTATATTTTATCTTATAGAAATCTTATAGAAAT